AAACACATCTGAAAGAAAATAAATGCACTTCATCCACTCCCCAATTAGATTGTGTTACCAAGCACACTTGCTGTGTACATACATCCTCAGTGCACCTGCCAGCAGGTATCCCAGAGAGCTCAGGAAGTGTTGTAGTCTAGAATTTAAAGCCCTGTGCCCAGGTGCTTGGCCTGTGGTTTGCAATCTGCTCACCATACAGTTGGGCAGATAATTCATGTGTGCTATCCCTCCCCATGCCCCCCAACATTAGCATACTTAAATGCCGTCCTCTGCCAGGTAACTGTGATCTCAGTTTCTCCTGTCCAAGTGAGTAATGATTCCTACCCTGACATTTTTGCTGGAACTAAGTGTTCTCTGTGGCCGTAACCTTAGACACTTAACACCCTCTCCTGATAGTCCCAGTAGGATTTAGGAGATGGTACCATTCTGGTCTGGAAGAATTACCTCACTGGTTTTGGTACTTACAGGTAAACAGCACATTTTGCAGTGTTTCCCCTATGAAAGAGTTCTTGAGGGGTTATGAAGATGGCTGAGATCTAAGAAGGCCAATTAGACACAACAAGGTGGCCTACTTACTCCTCATGACTTCTAGCCTGGCTGTGGTTATAATATGACATTTTGCATTTGTTGTGTGACACGAATGATGAACATCAGTGAAGAGCAGACATGATTCCTGTCCTCTGGATACTGTTAGTTTAATCAAGCCCAAAGCTTCCTGTTGTGCAGCGCATGGTGCTTGGTGAACTGAAGACAGATCTTGATCCACAATGTCTGCCTCTACAGGTGTTCAGAGTGAAAGCTGTTAGAAGGCATGGAACATGTGCATCAGTTATTCTAGATCTTGTTTTCAACTAAGATTTTTGTCTTCCTCCTCCATGAGGTGTCTGATTCAGTAGGTCAAGGAAGAGGTGGAAATGTTCATTTCTACCAAATACCTTGGGTGATTTGTGCTGCAGAGGTCCAGGATCTGCACTTGAGAGAGCTCTACCCTATATCTTTTGAGTGCTGATTAAGCCCTTGAAGAGGTCTTGGATACTTGTTTCTCAGGTCGAGTGACACTGCTTTCACAGTGTAGAACAGAGTGGCAGTGGCTCTCCTCCCATCACCCTAGCCCCACACAAGCTGGGGTTTTGAGCAATAAGAACTCAACCCAAGTTCCTTCTGGGGAGACAGCCAGGCGTCTTCACATCTGTGGTCCAAACCACTAGGGGCCAGCTCTCAGCAAGTCCCATACATCTTCTGATAAAAAGCTTGCAAAGAGGAGAAAGACATAGAGGAAGTGTCTTTGCTATATCTCACAGTCCAAAGAACACATTAATGTGCAGGGAGCTCCGGAGAAGTTATGTGTGTATGTGTGCTTTTAAGATTGATTGGTTTTGGAGAGCGCACGAGCAGGAGGGGCAGAGGGAGAATCTCAAGCGGACTTCATGCTGAGTGCAGGGCCCGATGTGGGGCTTGGTCTCATGACCCTGAGATCACAACCTGAGCCAAAACCAAGAGTTGGGCACCTAACACGACTGCGCCACCCAGGCGCCCCTGGAGTTTTTTACATGCTCTTGGGACCAAGAACAAGCAGTATTTTGGATTTAGAATCTAAAATCTCACTGGTGGAGAGTTGATATTCTTCAAGAATATGGCCATCTCTCTTCGTTACCATTGTCTAGGCTCTACTATTCCAGTGGGAGAGCCAAGCAAGGAGCACATCTTGATTGATTTTGTTAGTCCTAGTACATAAATATTGAATAAATGTTAGTTGGAAAAAATAAAGGCAATGGGGCGTCTGGGTGGCTCAGTTGGCTGAGAGTCCAACTTGTGATT